TAAATAAAATCTTTTTTTTTTAAATTTTTATTTATTTATGATAGTCACAGAGAGAGAGAGAGGCAGAGACACAGGCAGAGGGAGAAGCAGGCTCCATGCACCAGAAGCCCGATGTGGGATTCGATCCTGGGTCTCCAGGATCGCGCCCCGGGCCAAAGGCAGGCGCCAAACCGCTGCGCCACCGTCTTAAAAAAAAAATGTCCAAAGTCTTTGAAACTCCCCCCTTTCAGAAATAGAGCCAAATTCCCCTCCCCTTGAGTGTGGGCTACACATAGGACCTCACTTTTAATTAAAAGAATATGGTTGGGCAGCCCCGGTGGCTCAGCGGTTTAGCGCCTGCCTTTGTCCCAGGGCCTGATCCTAGAGTCCTGGGATTGAGTCCCACGTCGGGCTCCCTGCATAGAGCCTGCTTCTCCCTCTGCCTCTCTCTCTCTCTCTCTCTCTCTCTCTCTCTCTCCCTCTCTCTCCCCTCTCTCATGAATAAGTAAATGAAATCTTTAAAAAAAAAAAAAGACTATGGCAGAAGCAAACAGCATGCGACTTTCAAATATGGGTCATAATAGGCACTGTGGCTTCTTCTTTGCTCTCCATTTGTGGGGTTAGAAAGAGATGGGAATACCGGCTGCCATGTCACAAGGACATTCAAGCAGCCCTATGGAGAGGCCCAAATGGTGAAGAACTAAGCCCTCTTGCCAACAGCCATGTGAGCGCACCAACTTGGAAGTGGGCCCTCCAGCCCCAGTTAAGCCTCCGGGTGACTACAGCCGAGGCTTAAGTCTTGAGACAAGCTCATGAGCAACTCTGAGCCAGGTAACCCACTTCCAGATTCCTGACCTACAGAAACTGTTTGACGCTTTAAGCTGCTAAGATTTCTTTTTTAAGCTACAAAGTTTTAGGGTAATGTTATGTGTCAATAAACAATGAGTACAGGGGTACTCCTAAATAGCTGTCACTGTTTGTCACACGTTCCACCAACTGAGTCAGCCAGCGCCCCTCTTTATCTTGCTTTATATTTCCTCCTTGACACTTATCATCTCCATAATTATATGATTCACGTGTTTGCTTGCCCATTTTTCCCCACGTGAACATAAGCCCTCTGAACATGGGGAGTTCGCTTTATTCATTGTAGCCTACCAACTACTTAGAATAGGGTCTTACATTTGTGGGCACTCAGTAAAGGCAGCAACAGATAATGAATACACTAATACAACCTTTATACCTTTTCTCTCCTACAAAGTTACATCTACTCACTGACAAATGCTAGCACTCTTCACCTTAAGTATCTCAGCCAAAACCCACTAAAATTCCGAACTCCCTCGACATGATCAAACTACACAAATCCTGGAGCCAGGGCAAAGGCAGTAATGGGCCTGTAACACTCCTCTCTTCCTGCAAACCTGAATGCAGGTGGCCTGTCAGCGTGGAAGCTCTGACTTCTAGAAACAGTGTCATTTTAATTAAATTCCACAGAACCATTCTATGGTCCCAGAGGACTTCATCATTGCAGGATTTTTACCTTGCTGATTAACTGGCATTCTTTTCAGCCAAACCAACGGACTACTTCCAAGGTGACAACTTCCTTCCTAACAAGGTTCAAATCCTATAACAAGTTCCCACAGCCACTGACAGGGTTTGTAAATATATCTGCCATACAATCCAACTAATGTTTTGAAGACATGTCATTGTAGAAAATTGTATGTAAGCCTTTTTTTTGGTAATTAGATAGGATTCTTGATGTATTAATAGAATTAAACTATTTAGAGGAATACCTTTCTTTCTTTCTTTCTTTCTTTCTTTCTTTCTTTTCTTTTTTTTTTTTTTTTTTTGTAACTTTCAATAAAGTGAAGAATAGGGCAGCCCGGGTGGCTCAGCGGTTTAGTGTCGCTTTCAGCCCAGGGTCTGATCCTGGAGATCCGGGATCGAGTCCCACGTCAGGCTCCCTGCATGGAGCCTGCTTCTCCCTCTGCCTGTGTCTCTGCGCCTCTGTGTGTGTGTGTGTGTGTGTGTGTGTGTGTGTGTGTGTGTGTGTCTGTGTGTCTGTGTCTCTCATGAATAAATAAATAAAATCTTTAAAAATAAAAAATAAAGTGAAGAATATACCAAATATATCTAAAGGAGGCAAAGTAATTGAAATCTGTGTCCCCCAGTGTGATCTATTTTACGTTCCTAGATGCATGTACCATTTGTCCTCTGCTCCCTCCTGCTCCATCATTTGCTCTCATAGAGATTATCCACTGGTTTCTCCCATCACTCTACTCCCAGCTCCTTCAATCCACACAGCAGCAGAACTTGCAGAAAGCAAATCTGAACACATCCCTCTCTGCTTAAAATCTCTCAGAGAGGGAGGCCTGGGTGGCTCAGTCACTTGAGCAACCGACTCTTGATTTCAGCTCTGATCGTGTGATCTCAGGGTCCCGGGATTGAGTCCTGTGTCAAGCTCCGTACTCAGCAGGAAGTCTGCTAGAGATTCTCTTCCTCTTTCTCCTTCTGCCCTTCCTCCCATCACATTCTCTCTCTCTGAAATAAATAAAGCTTTAAAAAAAAAAAATCTCATAGGGCAGCCCGGGTGGCTCAGCGGTTTAGTGTCGCTTTCAGCCCAGGGTCTGATCCTGGAGACCCAGGATGGAGTCCCACGTCAGGGTCCGATCCTGGAGACCCAGGATCGAGTCCCACGTCAGGGTCCCTGCATGGAGCCCTCTGCCTGTGTCTCTGCGCCTGTGTGTGTGTGTGTGTGTGTGTGTGTGTGTCATGAATACATGAATAAAATCTTTAAAAAATAAATAAATCTCATAGAGGTTTCTGACTGCTCTTAGGAGAAACACAGCCCCCTCACTATGGCATGTCGGTCCCTGACCAGCCCAGCCCAGCCCACCCACCACCCTGCATCCACTGCCCACCCCCTGCTCTGCTCTAGCCTCACTTGCATTCCTTCCTTAGGTCTATCTATCCCCTTCTCCCCGCCCTTCTGAACCATGCCACCTGGCTCTCTGCACGCAGCCAGGAAAGCTCTTCCCAGGCCTCTTCTCCTAAGTAACCCCTTTCTCTTCAGACCTCATCTTGGGGACACCTACCCTACAACCTTAAGTACCCTGGTACGGGCTCCTGTAGCACCCTGGATATCTGCTCTGTTGCTTCAACACAGCTGCAAAGTTGCCATTTGTTTATCTGATTGGTGGATGAATGTCTGTCTCCAGAGAGACTGAAAGCTCTGTCGTCAGGGCAGGGAACTCATCTGGTTTCCTCCTCACTATATGTCCAGTGCTCAGCACCAATCAGATGTTTAATACATATGCTGAATCAATCAATCAATCACCCAATCAATCAATGAAAGCTGTGATCTGCCCCTAATGTCTGAGTCCCACACTCTTTTCCCCAGCTCTCCCCTCATGATTCCTTAAAAGCCCTTGGCACTTCACTCCCCTCACCTCTCCCCCATCCTTCCCTATCCCTTCCTTCATCCCTCCCATCTCCTCTATCCTTTAAAGCCTAAGTCCAGGGGCAGCCCAGGTGGCTCAGCAGTTTAGCGCCACCTTCAGCCCAGGATATGATCCTGGAGACCTGGGATCAAGTCCCGTATCCCTGTGGGAACCTGCTTCTCCCTCTGCCTATGTCTCTGCCTCTCTCTCTCTGGGTCTCTCATGAATAAATAAATAAAATCTTTAAAAATAAAATAAAGCCTAAGTCCAGTGTCCCCTCCAAGAAGAATTCCCAATGCCACCAGCCAAAAAGGATTCCTCCTCTCCCTGTTCCCCTCCTGGGGGTCTGTTTCCCTCTACCTAGGCTGAGACTTACACCTTGTCCCCAGTGTTTTAGGACACGTTTTCCAGAGGGTTAAAGTTCTTGGTCTTGTTCATCTTTTCCTTCCCCAACTCAGGGGCTTCAGAAATTTTGTTGCAATCCAATGGGAAAGAAACTGAAAACCCTCCCACCCTCCCCACTTTGAGCCCATTCCTTGTGTTTGATGTAGCCCTGATCCAAGGGATGTAAGGAGCTTCAGCTTCAAGGGGAGGAAAAATGCCTGAGAAATAATTAAAGAAAGAGAGAGCTTGAAAGCACAGCGTTGAGAAACCCAGGGCCAGCATGCTGGCCTCCCTTACAAAGCCTGGCACTGAGTCTGCATTCACTCTGCCCTGAATGAAGGGTGGATTGAATGAAAAGCTCACAGCCTTCAAGCTCCTGGGGGCACTCCTGGCAGCAGGGCTGAGCAGCGGAGAGATGCTAATGGATTTGGAGCTGCCAGGGCCAACTCTTCTAGGAAGCCCAGAGCAGCAGTCCTGCCTGGGACAGGCAGCATCTCCTTCCCGTTTTGTAGATGGAAACACAGACGGCCTGAGATGGTGAGAGCCCGAAGGTAGCCCCAAGGGTCCCCAGGGTCCGTTATTAAAATTCTAGAAAGTGAAGGGGATCATAGGTGCCTCTGTTCACATTAAACAACCGGTCTCAGGACTTACTGGTCCATGTGTAGTGAAGTCCCTGCAATTAGATGCAGCCACCTTCCCAGCCCAGAGCCAACCTGCCGCGTGGAGACATCATCTAAGGAGTGTTTGATGAGTAAGCAGCCCTTGGGCTTATTTGGGAAAAGTCCCGGGTCTCAACAGCAAGGAGCAAAAGAACACCAGACCCCTCCCCAGCCCTTGGCAAAAGCAAAACGTCCATGATGAGCGAGTTTCTCGGAAGATGCTCACTCCCAGGACTTTCTGTCACTTGGTGGGAGTAGATACAGTTATAACAAGCACACACATGCACACAGAGATGGTCCCCATTATTCTTCCTCCCTCCTCAATCACATGCCCCTAGGAAGAGCTGGCAGGGAGGCCAAAGGACCATCTGGATGGGGAATGCAGAGCAGAGCCCCTGGGATCCAAGAAAGCAAGATGCCAGCCTGCTCATGCCAAGGACCCCCATCCTTTGAGTCCCAGCAGCACCCCACAGGGCTGTGAGACACCCTCCCACCCCGACCCCTGCCCACCCAGCTCCCACCACTAGCCAGGCAGTCTTACTTCTTCACTTTCGGGTATTTCATCTCCGCAATGGCATTCGTGGCTTCTGTCTGTTTCTCCTTCAGATGCTGTGGCCACATGTTGTCCACCCAGTCCACCAGGTCTACCTGAAAGCCAGCCCATCGTCAGCACTTGCTGTCTTGGGGTGCCCTTCCATTGGGTTCTCTCACCATCCCTCATTCTCCCCACACTCTTCCTGCCCTTTGCTGGGGCTGGCACAGGCTGGCCTGGAGCCTAGGCGCAGGAGAAGGGTGAGGAGAGGAGGTAGAAAGTATCAGGGAGGAGACCGAGACCAGGGGCCTACCACAGTCGGACGCTTGACCAGGTGCTCCAGCTTGGTGTGGCTGAACTCAAGGCTGATGACGTTGTACAGCTTGTCCCGCTGAGCCTCCGGGGTCTCGTAGTACCGCACAAACTGGGACATGCTCATCTCCGTGCCCTTCTGGGTATTCACATCCATCACATCCACCAGCCGCCGGCTACCTAGGGGCAGAATCCACACACTGATGGCTCCTGGTGACCCAGGATCCTGATCCCACTTGGGATCCCCATAAACAAAACCTGCCTCACCCGTATGCCGCATCTGCTCTATTACCTCGTCTCATTGGTTTTCCTTTACTGAATCTCTCTCCATCTGCTCCCCTCCACCACCACAGCCTCTACGCTGGTCCAGTCCAGCCTTACTACTCTCCAAGACGACCTCCAGAACTTCCTAAGGGATCCCCAGACTACCCCCTCCTATACATCCTCCATGCTGCCAGCATGAGATTTCTAAAACAGAGACCTGACCATGGGCACTCCTCTCTCTGCTTCAAACCTTCAATGCTCCCCACTGCCGACCAAAAATTCTCTTGGCATGGCACTCAAGGCTGTCTGTTTATATGAAGTAATAGAACAGTGCTTATTTCCACAGAAAATTAGCTGTTTGGTAGTCTCCCTCCCTAATCTGTGAGGCCAGAGAAAATTACTTGGGCTTCTCTGAACCTCTGTGTCTTCATCCTGCCATCTCCTTTCATAGGCTAGTTGTGAGGATTAAATCAGACAAAGGTCACAGATCAAATCAGATGATGCTCAAGAACTCCTTGGCACAGCGTCTGGTGCTTAAATGCATGGATCCCCCATTACTCCCTGGCACTAATCACAATTCACAAAGTTTGTCTCTTTTGCAGTCTTTCTTCCCTACTATTCTGTAATTGTCTCCAGGGCATAAGTCCTGTCTGTCTTGTTCACTACTTTATCCCAAGTATCTACACAGAGCTGAGCATAAAGTGGGAGCTCAGTAACATATAGATGGAACAAATAAATGATGAATGTTGGCTGTCCTGTACAATATGTGACATATGACTTCTCATATGAACAACCACTGAACTAAAAGGAGTGAGCTGCAATACTCTGGTTTCTCTTCAGATCGCATAAATCTTTCGCTTTTTACTAAAAGGAGTGAGCTGCCTGGCACCCCCTGCTTCCCAGAGAGAAGGAGACAAGCTCAAGACTGGGAGACAGGAGTGTTTAGTGCTAGTCCTGCGACTACCAGCAAGTAACAAAGCTTCAGGGTGGGGCACCTGCGTGGCTCAGTCAGTTGGGTGTCTGACTCTTGATTTCGGCTCAGATTATGATCTCAGGGTCGTGAGATCAAGCCCCACTTCAGACTCTATGCTGGGCATGGAGCCTGCTTAAGATTCTCTCTCTCCCTCTTCCTTTGCCCCTTCCTTCTCACCTCACTCTCTTTCTCTCTCTCCAAAAAAAACAAACAAGGTTTTAAGGAATTCACAACCCTTCAAGGGGACTCTGCTTCCCCATCCCTAAGATGGGAATAATCAAGGCCCCAGAACTTCAGACACTGTAGAAGGAACAACCAAGGTTCAATGGAAGTGCTATGACAGGGGAGAAGACAGACACAGAGCAGATTGCCACATTCATGGTGCTTTATGATGAAAGCTGGCACCTCCTGTCTGTCAGGACATAAAATAAGCATCATGACTGGAATGAGAAGCCTGCCATCTGGTAAGGAAATACCTCAATTCCCCATTAGTTCAATGACAAATATTTGGTCCATGGAAACTTAAAAATGTGGAAACCAAGGGCGCCTGGCTGGCTCAGTCGGTTAAGCATCCAACTCTTGTTCTTAACTCAGGTCTTAATCTCAGGGTCGTGAGTAAAAGCCCCAAGTTGGGCTCCATACTGGGCATGAAGCATACTTTTAAAAAAAAAAAAGAAAAAGAAATGGACAAACCAGAAGAAAGAAAGAAAATAACCAGAGCAGGTGATCACCTTGTTCAAAGCTACTCCAAGAACAAAGAGCAAACTAAGCAAGCAGGGGCCAGCAAATGATGGCCCATGGGCAAATCTGGCCCACCACCGGGTTTTGTCTGGCCCATGAGCTACAGATGATTTTTATGTTTTTAAGTGGTAGAGGATGGGGAAAAATGATATGAAAATGATACAAAGCTCAAATTTCTGGACCCATATATAAAAATTGTATTAGCACCAGCCACACTCTGGTTCATAGGTCTCTGGCTGCTTCCATGCTACACCAACTAAGCTGAGTAGCTGGCAGAGAGTAAATGGCCGGCAAAGCCCAAAATACTTACTCTCTAATCTTTACGGAAAAAATTTGCCGACCCTTGAAACTGACAAAATCCTCATGGAACTTACATGCTGATGTGAGTAATATTCCCATCTGGTTCAGTGCTATATACCCAGCTCTGTGCATAAAGCCTGCCCTATTATAGGCCCATGGTCAATATTTGTTGAATAAATACACAGTGCCTTTCATGTAGCAGGAACTGAATAATAAAAGTAACCCTTTGTGCACGTAGGAGAACTTGGGCGTTACTATCTTTTAGATTCATTATCTAATCTTTACAACCACCCCAGAAGTGAGGTAGGACTGTCCCTGTCTTATAAATGAAGAATCCAGTGCCTAGAGGTGACAAGATCAGCTCAAGTCCTCCAGAATATACTCTACCAATAAGAATCGTTAACATTTACAGAGCACAGGCAAGCTCTCTACACAGGTTATCTTAAGTTAATTGTGGTTCTGTGAGGTAGAACTTCACTTATACCCATTTGATGGATGAGAAACTTGAGGCTTGGACCTAAAATGTCCAGTGCATGAGTAGTAGAACTAGAACTTGAAGCCACTTCAATATAATCCACAGCCCAGGTTCCTATCCTCGCACTCCTGCCCCTGCCCAATGTAATACTGAATCTAGATCACACGTGAAAAAGGATTCTTCCTTCAGTGACCGCCTAGATCCTGGGAAGATGCAGAAAACAGCTGTTTTTGAGTCAGGAGTGCAGATCCACCAGGGGGCATCCCTGAACTTTGCTGGAAATTTTGGCCTGCTCTGGACAGTGCTGGCTCCTTCCTAAACAGGGCTTCTGGAACAGGTGGGCTCTGCTCAGCTTTTCTGGGAAGCCTAATTGGCAGAGAACCTGCTATGAGATGGGGGAGGTGAGAGGGGGAGGTCAAAGAGAACAAGCCCCCAAACCCTTGCCCCTCTCCGGCCAGCCTCCCGCCTCCCGCCTCCCTCTGCCTCTCCTCCCTAACCTTGCACAAGGTCACATCTGCAAAGCTGCCAGCAGAAGGACTGCTGGGCAGGTAGATGGGAATCACAGCGTCAGAAGCTCAGCAACTCAGCTCTGACAACTGCACAACTAAGCTAAGACTTTATGGTTCAAATGCCAGCTGGGTCTCAGGCTGCTTAGTTTCTCTGAGTATCAGTTTCCCCATCTGTGACATGGAGACAAAAATGGTAGTTATTAGCCCATGGGGTTGATCTGAGCCTTAAATGAGATCATGCACATGAAACACTTCCATAAATTGCCAGCAGGTAGGTCATGTTACCGAATTGGCCAATTTCATCTACAATTACAGGTGGAGAAAGTGAAGTCATAGAAAGTCAGAGCCACTTAAATCTCTGCCGGCAAGTCCAATGGACTGACTACTTCAGATCCTAAAACATAATAAGGATGGCTAATGGGGGGCGGGGGGGAGTGTCTTATGGCAGGGGGGTAATAAAAATGTCCTAAAATTGATTGTGGCAATGTTTGCACAACTCTGTGGACAGATGAAAAACCACTGAATCAGACATTTTAAACAGTTGAATTACATGGTATATGAATTATATCTCGATGAAGATGTCATTAAACACAAAAACTCAGGGCAACCTTCTTGGGTCCCCTCCCTCTTTGGGGGCTTTGTACAATACTCAATAAACCTCACTTTGCTGTCCACCACTCTGCCTGGTCTACTTGTCATCCTTTGAAGTGGCATGACCAAGAACCACAGGCACTTAAAGAGAAGAAATCCTGTAACACTCACACTGCAACATTAAATGTAGAAACTCTGCTTAATAAACCCATATACATTTAATAAATAAATACAGAAACAAACACAAAAATCAGGTACTAAATGACCAACAAAGTTGGTTTTCCTAAATGTAACTCTCTCTTTCGAAAGTCTCCTATTGGGAGGCCTGTGTGGCTCAGCAGTTGAGCATATGCATTTGGCTCAGGGCATGATCCCAGAGTCCCAGGATAGAGTCCCACACTGGGATCCCTGCAGGGAGCCTGCTTCTCCCTCTGCCTATGTCTCTCTGCCTCTCTCTGTGTCTCTCATGAATAAATAAATAAAACCTTAAAAAAAAAGTCTCCTATCAACTGGGGATGCCTGGCTGGCTCAGTTAGTAGAAAATGTGACTCGATCTCAGTGTCATGAGTTCAAGCCCCACCTTGGGTGTAAAGTTTACTCAAAAAAAAAAAAAAAAAGAAAGAAAGAAAAGAAAAAAGCCCCCTATCAACTTAAATAAATACTAAGAAATGTAAATTATATTGAATTTCTATATTGTATACCCAATGCAGTTAGTTAACTGTATTGTTAACTAACTGGAACTAAGATAAAACTTTTTTAAAATGTAAATTATTCAGCCATAAAAATGAATGTAGTTACCTGATCCATGCTACAATACAGATGAACCTCAAAAACATGATGGTGAATGAAAGAAGCCCATCACCAATGGTCACATGTTGCATGAAGCCATTTATTTACCATGTCCAGATTAGGTAAGAAGTAGGTGCCAAGGGCTGGGGGATAGGAATGAGGAGTGCTAATGGGTAGGAGTTTCCTTCTGGGGTGATGAAAATGTTTTGGAACCACAGAGAAGTAATGGTTGCACAACACTGTGAATGCACTAAACCCCACTGGATTATATACTTCCAAATGATTAATTTTATGTTACATGAATTTCACCTCAATGAATTATTATTTTTCTGCGGTGCCTGTATGGGGTGGCTCAGTTGATTAAGCATCTAACTCTTCATTTCACTCAGGTCATGATCTCAAGGTGGTGAGATCAAGCCCTGTGGTCAGGCTCCGAGCTCAGAGGGGATTCTACTGGAGATTCTCTTTCCCTCTGTCCTCCCCCCCCCCACTCTCTCTCTCTCTAATAAATAATAAAGGGACACTTGGACCACCTACT